AGAAGTGTTAGAAAAAATTGCTCAGAAAGAAAAGGAATTAAAAAAGAAGCCTGGAAAAAAGCAAATTATTAAAGAATTAAAGTTGCTGAAGGAACAACTGAATGAGACTTGGAATCAGGAAATGTATTGGAATTTAAAGAAGTTACAACAGAAATCTTTTGAAGGGGCGAACAAACCGGGAAAATACTTAGCTTGGCAACTTAAGGCTAGAAGAGAGAGAAGAATGATAACCAAAATAATAGAAGATGGAAAAGAGTTCGTTGATCCTAATGGAATAAAGAGATGTTTCTTCAAGTATTATGCTAAACTATTCCAAACAACTAGAGTTGATCTTGAGAAGATTAAAACATATTTAAAGGAGATTCCACTACCAAAAATAAGTAAGGAATACAAAGATTTATTAAATGGTCCAATTCAAAAAGAAGAAGTGATGAAGGCAATAGAAGAGACAAAGTTGGGGAAGGCGCCTGGGCCGGACGGATTTACAGCGAAATTCTACAAAAAGATGAAAGAAGAAATTTCCCCGGTCCTGGAAGCTTTAACCAACGAAATAAGAGAAAACAAAAAGGTGCCGGACTCATGGAAAGAAGCAATTATTTCTTTGATTCCAAAGGAAGGACAAGATTCAACAAATGTAAAGAACTACAGGCCAATATCTCTTTTGAACAACGATTATAAAATCTTTGCAAAAATTATTGCAGAAAGGGTGAAAAACTATTTACAAACGGTAATTTCTGAAGATCAAGCGGGCTTTTTACCCAAAAGGCAGATTAGAGACAATGTAAGAATAGTAATGGACGCAATTGAATATTATGAAAAGCACCCAGAAAAAGAAGTAGCTTTTCTGTTTGTTGATGCAGAAAAAGCTTTTGACAATCTTAATTGGAATTTTATGCACCAGATGATGGAAAAGATTGAAGCGGGACAACATTTTAGAAATTGTATTGAAGCTATCTATTCTGAACAAAGAGCTAAAATAAATGTGAATAAAGAACTGACAGATAACTTCAAAGTACAGAAAGGAACAAGGCAAGGTTGTCCGTTATCACCGTTATTATTTATCTGGGTATTGGAAATACTTTTACAAAAAATACAGTACGATCAAGAAATAAAGGGCTTGACACATAAAGGACACCAATACAAATATCGAGCATTTGCAGACGATGTAATGTTTATGGTGGAAAACCCAACAGAAAAATTGACATTGCTTTTTCAAAAAATAAAGGAGTTTGGAGAATTGGCCGGCTTTTACGTAAATAAGAATAAAACAAAACTTATATGTAAAAACATGATCAAACAAAAACAAGTGGAACTACAAGAACTGGTACAATGTGAAGTAGTTAAAAAAACAAAATACCTTGGAATTGAATTAACGGCAAAAAATATAGACCTATATAAGAATAATTATGAGAAATTATGGACTAAGCTGACTCAAGATTTTAAGAAATGGGATAAAATGAACTTATCACTGATGGGAAGAATATCAGTTATAAAAATGAATGTCCTACCACGTTTGATGTTCCTGTTCCAAACAATACCAATTCTGCATAAAACGGATTTGTTGGCCAAGTGGCAACAAGAGTTGTCAAAATTTGTTTGGGCAGGCAAGAAACCAAGGATCAAAATGAAAATACTTTGTGATGCCAAAGAAAGAGGAGGTCTACAAATGCCAAATCTTAGACTATATTATGAAGCGGTTTGTCTAACATGGATGGATCAATGGGTGAAGCTTGAAAATGACAGATTGTTGGGGTTGGAAGGGCATGATTGTAGATTTGGCTGGCATGCATATTTATGGTATGACAAGATAAAAATGGACAGTTTTTTTAAACTTCACTTGGTGAGAAAAGCTTTGTATATGGTATGGACAAGATATAAGAAGTACCAGAGTGACTTAAGACCATTGTGGATTGTACCAGTAGAAGTGTTGATATCTTACTCAAGACAGCGAGGTAGAGACTGGTTGCCATATAGAGATTTAATTAAAAAAGAGGGAACAGAGTGGGTAATGAAAAAGCAGAATGAAATTGAATATGAATATGAGTGGTTGAAATATATGCAGATTTATGATCTTTTTAGATCTGACAAAAAAAACTATGGTTTTAGAGAGGAAAAAAATGAAATTGAAAAGGTATGGGAGAGTGGAGGAGGAAAAAATATTTCTAAAATGTATAAGGTGTTGTTAAAATGGTATACTGAAGATGAAACTGTTAAAGAACAAATGTTAAAATGGGCTATTAATATGAATAAGGAAGTGGATATGGAAACTTGGGAATATTTGTGGAAAAACTCTATTAAGATCTCGACATGTACTAATGTTAAAGAAAATTGTTATAAGATGATGTATAGGTGGTACATGACACCTAAGAAGATTGCAAATATGAATCAAAATATGTCAAACAAATGTTGGAAATGTAAGAGGCATGAGGGCTCATTTTATCATATGTGGTGGACTTGTGAGAAAGCTGTAGACTTTTGGACAAAAGTCCACAATGAAATGCAAAAAATACTGAAATGTTCTTTTAAAAAAGCACCGGAAATTCTGCTTTTGGGACTCAAAATGGAAGAAGTCAATACGACTAAAAAAACTTTACTCTGGTACCTGATAGTGACAGCGAGAATGATTTATGCTCAGTTTTGGAAGACGGAAAAGGTACCAGAGGTTGAAGAATGGATACAAAAAGTTCTGTTCATGGCACAAATGGATAAGATTACAAAAAAACTGAATAACAAAGAAGACGATGAGTTTTTTGGAGAATGGAATGATTTTAAAATTTATCTGGAAAAGAACTGGGATGTGAAACAAAACTTAATATGTTTAGATCAATATTAAGTCAAACGATGTTATCTTTAGATTGTAATGATGAAAAACTGATATTGTTGATGATATGAAGTAATTTGGAGCAGGGGTGGAAGCATTGTGGGAAGCCATTGGAGGGAGGGGAGGAACTGGGAATGGGGTAGACAATTGATAGAATGAAATGTTTTATATGTTGTATTCCTGAGAAAATAAAATTTGTTTACCAAAAGGAAGTCTTAGTAGGAGTCTTGTAGCAGTTTATTTTTTATTTTTATTTATTTATTATTCATTTTTTTATCCCGCCCCCTCCCGGCCGACGCCGGCTCAGGGCAGCTTACAACACTAAAATTTGCATAAAACAATCATAACAATCATAACAAAATCACATAGATTAATAAATACGACATTAAAATTCAAACAAGATAAAGTGCTAGCAACAATCCTCATTATCCCAATTGGGTCTTCGGCCTTCTGCGGCTATCTCAGGTAATTGGCACGGGCTGTGTTTGAGGGACCTACGGGCCAGGGCTCCGCCAAAGTAGGTATTAATTTTTGGCAGTGGAGGGGTTAGTGGTTGTTAATGGTGGCGGCTCTAAAAGCCTGGCGGAAGAGCTCCGTCTTACAGGCCCTGCGGAACTGTGAAAGGTCCCGCAGGGCCCTAGTCTCTTCCGGGAGCTCATTCCACCAGAGTGGAGCCGCCACCGAAAAAGCCCTGGCCTTAGTTGCCACCAGTCTGGCCTCCTTGAAGCTTGGGGGGGGGCAGCCAGTTCAGGGTCCCCGATCGCAGTGACCTTTGGGGAACATATGGGGAAAGGGCTAGGTTGGGATCCAGGAGCACCTTTAGAGACCAGCATGATTTTGGGGGTATACGCTTTGGAGAGTCAAAGCGCCTTTTGTCTGATACAAGACGTGTAACTGACGAAGGAAGCATTAACTCTTGAAAGGCTGTATCCGACGCTTCCTCTAAGCTGGGGAGTCTTGTGAGCAACAATTCTACTTTGTGAGCTACTGGCATTAAAGTCGTGAGTGGGCGATTTAGCTGCTGCATCAATTAGTTTGCTCTGGAGCTGCATCAATTAGTTTGCTTTTTGAGCTGAGACAAAAATGTCTGAGCCGGAGGCTAAGAAACTGTTAGCTGGCTCACACTAACTCAGCTTAGAGGGAACACTGTGTATCCTGGAGATCTTGTTGGTCTCTGAGGTGCTGCTGGGCTGGAGTCCAGCTGTTCTACTGCAAGTCAACATGGCCGCCTTCCTGAAACTTTCTTCAAATGTTTCTGCCACTCCAAACCACATTCCAAAACCCCGGGCCAATGCCATATTGACTGCGATGTCACCCCTGAATGGCCATAAACCTATGCAGAAGGTACCATGAAAGCAGATGATCAGAGAAAGTGAAAGCGGCATGCAGTGTAGAGGGTACCATAAAATCCAATGATCAAAGAAAGTGAAAGAGGCATGCATCGTAGAGGGTACCATAAAATCCAACGATCAAAGAAAGTGTAAGCAGCATGCAGCGTAGAGGGTACCATGAAATCCGATGATCAAAGAAAGTGTAAGCTGCATGCAGCGTAGAGGGTACCATGAAACCCAATGATCAAAGAAAGTGAAAGCGGCATGCAGTGTAGAGGGTACCATAAAATCCGATGATCAAAGAAAGTGAAAGCGGCATGCAATGTAGAGGGTACCATAAAATCCAATGATCAAAGAAAGTGAAAGCAGCATACAATGCAGAGGGGAATTTCTTTTCCATTGTGAGTCTGGTAAAACAACAGAGGGAAAAGCCAATGCAGAATCGCCCCGTGAGAACAAGACTTTGTTCACTCTTTATTTCTAAGTGTCCATTTAAACTTGTCAGGACATTTGAGTAACCTGATTGGGTGGAAAGGCAGAATTAACATGGGCTCTTTACTGCCGGAGCTCTGCTCCTGCGCGCTCCTGCAGGAAATGACCCCTGCTATTAACAAAGTATTCACTTTTACCTCGAGTCCAGATTTTATCTCCCAGATTTATTTGATTGGGGAAAATTGGTGTTTTCCAGCTCCAATTTCCCTGCTGTAAAAATAGCAAAAAGAGAGGGGAGGAGAGAGAGAGAGGGGAAAAAACCAACTTCCCTACCCGAGTTGTTTGCTAGGATGAAGCACCGTTACAATGCCCCTTTCTTCCTGGAGCTTCAACCTTGCCCCATTTCTTGCTTTCAGAGGTGGAGAGTATCGGCCAGAGCCATATCCAGCTGGCCCAGGTGCTCCGGGAAGAAGCGAAGAAAATGGAAGACTTCCGGGAGAAGCAAAAATTCCACCGTAAAAAGGTCAGGAGGGGAACTGGGTCCAGCGCTGCCAGCTCTGGGTTGGAAACTATCTGGAGATTTGGGAAGGGGAGCCTTGGGAGGGCAGGGTTTGGGAAGGGGAGGGACCTTGGCAGGGTACGAGGCCATAGAGTCTACCCTCCAAAGCTGCCATTTTCTCCAGGGGGACTGATCGCTGTCGTCGGGAGATCTGTCGTAGTACCGGGAGTACTCCAGGCCCCACCTGGAGGCTGGGCCCTAGGAACTCGGGTGACAACAGGGGTCATTTAGTAGAAAAAGAGGTGCAGGAGCTCATTAGCATAACTCATTAGCGTAACTCATTTGCATATGCCACACCCCCTGACATCAGCGGAAGTGTGTCAGAAGGCAACACCGGGGGAACGTGCAGATCTGTCCTCACAGAGGAGGGAGAGCTTGTACCTGAACAAAACTTGGTCTTAAAGCTGCCACTGGACTGTTTTGGATAGCTAGATATGGGGGGGGGGAATGCGCAGATCTGCCCTCACAGAGGAGGGAGAGCTTGTACCTGAAGGCGGGTCGGGGTGGGGGTGGGCTCTGCAACTTCCCTGGCTGCTTCTTGCTCTGACTGAGGGCTGCTGGGAGCAGGGGGTTGGGCTTGTTGCATGTGCCCACCCCCTGGGCTCTTTACTGCCAGAGATCTGCTCCTGTGCGCTCCTGCAGGAAATGAGCCCTGGGTGACAATAAATGCTGAGTGCGTGCAGTGGTAGGCGAGGCAGGGTGTGGATTTCAACTGGGTTCCATGCGACGATGAAGTCACTCTGGTCACCCAGACTCCGTGACCTTGGAGGACTCAGCCTATGGAGAGCACGGCACTAGAAACGTACTAGCTTCAGCATGGAGCTGCGGCTTAGCTGTTCCCTGGAACCTGTGCTGGGCGTTGCCTGTCAGACAGACAAAAGCTTAATCTTTTGACAAGGGTGTGTGTTTCAGAGCTGAGCACCCACAACTCTTCCTGATAGACAGATCCAGGGGGTCAGCCACGTTGGTCTGAAGCAGTAGAACAGATTTAGAGTCTAGGGGCACCTTTAAGACCGACAAAGTTTTAGAGCCAGTTTGGTGTAGTGGTTAAGTGCACGGACTCTAATCTGTCAGGTATAAGTTAAAAGAGAGAGAGAGAGATTTTAAGAAACCGACCACTCACTTCAGCTCCATCTGCCCGCAGGGTTTCTTCCTCGACAAACCAAGAAGATCCTTCCCGTATCTTTCTTCTATGGCGGCCCTGTTGGGTGGGAAGGGAGGCACGAGAGTTGTCTGTAGAACAGAGGTGGTCAATTCCCCCCCCTTCATTTGAGGGCCACATTTGGGGCCCTGCCCACTTTGCAGGGCTTGAAGTTCAAATGCCAGCTCTTTCTGCCGCTGGGGTCAAACTTTGAGGTCTCCAAAGGAGGCAGAGATCCACACTGGGCTCTCTCTTCACAGCCCTGCTTCCAAGAACATCAGAAGAGCCCTGCCAGGCCAGACCAGTGGGGGTCCATCCAATCCAGCATCCTGTCTCACACAGCGGCCAGCCAGTTCCTCTGGAGGTCCAGCAACAGGGCACAGAGGCCGAGGCCTCCATAAGAACATAAGAAGAGCCCTGCTGGATCAGACCAATAGTCCATCTAGTCCAGCATCCTGTCTCACACATTGGCCAACGAGTTCCTCTGGAGCATAGATGCCGAGGCCTTCCCCTGATGTTGCCTCCTGGCTCTGGAATTCATAGGCTTAGTGCCTCTGCATGTGGAGGTTCCCGTCAGCCACTGTGGCTAATAGCCATTGATAGACTTTATCCTCCACGAATTGATGGAAATCCTATCAGAACATAAGATAGTTTGTTGGAATATACAAGTGCCTCCCCTTGTGCCATGAAAGAGTTAATCTGTTGCTTGGGTTTAGAACCAGTAGTTAATTAGCATATAGCCTATTAGGCTTCCTGTAGAAGTTCCTCGTAGAGAAGTGGTTGGTAGTATTCTAAGTAAGGGGATCTCAATTTCCCTATCGATAACTTAGAGACAGTTATCTACTTTTAGCCACGTAGGAAGTTTGTAGGAACTTCCTCTTTCTTTGTTCTAGAGATCACAAGGGTTTTTAGCCAACATGGGGGTTCGATCAGGAGACGCTAGTAGGACTATTTGATCTTTTTTGTTTTAAATTCCAATGTAACCCCCCCTCCCCCCACAGTTTGGTGTAGTGGTTATTAGGAGCGTGGACACTAAACCGGGAGAACTGGGTCTGATTCCCCACTCCTCCACATGCAGCTGCTGGGGTGACCTTGGGCCAGTCGTAAGTTCTCTCAGAGCAGTTCTCTCAGGGGCAGTTCTCGAGAAAGCTCTCTCAGCCCTTTCGGGTTGCCAGCCTCAAGGTGGGGGCTGGAGATCTCCTGGAATGAGAGTTGATCCTCAGACTATAGAGATTGGTTCCCCTGTTGAAAATA